ACAGCGTATGGCAAGCGTTTATTTCGTGATTTATTACTTGACCTGATAAGGCCAAAACAAAGCCCGGGGTAGGATGCCGTCAATTAATACGCATAAATAGAAAATGTAATCAGAATTTGCTTATCAGTCTTAGTCGATAAGGAAAATACGTGAAGATATATAATTTACGTAATGTGTTGTGACATTAACAAACAGCAACAACTAGTTCCATGGTAAGCTACGAGGGTTGTGTTATGGATGGGACTCGAACCCGCGACCGCTGGCATAGCAAGTAGGGTTACTACAAACTGAGCGAAACCAGTTCACAGATACAGCTGTCCATGTTATATAAGACACATCATCACCTATATATCAATATGACTGATAACTTTTAGCAGAGCCAGCTAAAGCCAGATAGTCTATCAAACTTTGACACACATATTTTATGAATACGTCCGCATTGAATAGCCTTTGTATGCAGCAACTGTCACTGGGACAATTATGACCCTTTGAAATGCGCGCGTGACGAGAGTGTGACATATTCCGATACCCTAATAACAATTCGTTGTTGGCAGCGAAAATTACATTTTTGAATTCAATTCATATGAGTTTTAGTATCAGAATTCTAAGTTAATAAGAGAAAATTTGCATTTTGTAGTTTAATAGAACTGACGCTATCGAGAAAAGAAAATTTCTGAAAGCTTCATTGTTTCCGGAAAGAAGAATCAACAAATTAACAAACACATTTCACATATAAATGTTGAAATGAAAAAAAAAATACCTATTGGTCCATTGTTCTTGAAAAGCGATTGAAGTTCCTTTGATTTTAAAAATCAGTATTTTTTTCGATCTAAATTCTTAGCAAAACTGTTCTTCAATCAAAGAATTATGATCTTATATAGAAAGTACCTACTGTATCTTATGAAGAAAAATATTTATTTAAGATTACAAAGAAAGACCTTTCAATCAACAAAACACGTGTACTTTTGCGCACCTTTATTACAAAGGTTTTGTGGAACAAAATAAACAAAAACGAAGGTGAATCCCACAAACGGCTGACGAATTGCTGCCCTTCTTATAATCTCTCGAATAATACCTCCCACTCAAATCCGTTGTGTCCTCGGCGGGTAATCCATTCTATTTTTCTAAGTATTATGAAATGTGACAAAACCACACCATGTATGTGTGTGTCTATCGTTATTGTCTATGTGGTTAGTGTAAAATCTATTCTTCCAATGTATTTTGTTACGGGAAAATAAATGATGTTTATTTTCTTATACCCTAGCTTCTTATAAGTACTTTATTTATTTATTTTCTGACTTATTACTTATACTTTTTTTGTTAATATTGGGAAATACATTTACGCATACAACCTGTAGACAGACCTGGCTATGTGGAACTCACCGGCTAACCAAGCTCAAAAATCAATCAAGCTAAAAAATCTCCTCCGTCGTAATGGGGCGTCGCAGGATCGCTTGCGCCCCGACGGCAGGTCCTCTGAGGCAGACCATAGCAATCATGGGGTTGCTCCACAGTCCACTCTGCTATCAGAGAAGTACCAGGAGCAACCCGCATGGTACATCGCCCACCGAAGTGGGCCACCTCCCTGTGTGTGTGTGGCTTCGCGCTTGGCTGAACTGCCGGACACTAATGAGCCGCCCCACCACGATAAGGTGACAGCACGTTGGGAGGGAACTTATTACTTATACTGGTGTCTGGTTTAAGTCGCTAGTAATAATTGAAACCTATCTGTCATATAAAACATAATCTGTCTGCTTGATGTTTACGGATAAACAGTTAAAAAGATTTTAGTACAAATGAAAGCCGTGTTTCTTGGCTTAATTGAAAAGGAGTACTGAGAAGATTTTTTTATTTACTAAGAACATTATTTAAGCATATAATAAAATAAACAATTTCAATGTAAATAACTGAATTAGTTATACTTTATACATATCTATGCAATAAATTATACGTTATTACGTATACAAGAGGTAGTTATTATATAACCTAGTTAAACATTTTGACTCTTTAAATTTTATGAAAATGAATGTTTACGTTTTATTTATGTAAGTTTCGTGACATATTCATTATTTTATTTAAAAATAATAAGTATATAGAAATATTTTGTTTCATAAAAATAATGTTATCATAAATAGTATTTTTATTTATTTGGTTATATTATATGTTGAGGAATATTTGGCATATATAAAAGCCATATTTGCAGTTTTTTTTTAATTTTCTATAAGCTTTTTTGAACAAGATTTCATCTGACTAGAGAAACACTGGGCAGATTTAAATAAAAAAGTGTCAAATGGGTCAAAGTGGTAAAACCTTCTTACATAACACCTTTACAGCTGACAAGAGGGCTGGGTCGTTTTTCGCCCAAAGACCGATTCTATATTGCGGTTTAGCCGGAGAATACAGCTAGCATTCTCGCCACAATTCCACGCGGATATCCATTATACAATTATAATTAATTATATTATAAGTAATTATTATAAGTAATTATTATAAGTAATTATAATTAACTGTGTATTTGTTTTGTGTATATTATAGTTAACTAGCGGCTTACTCTCCCTTTGTTCGGGTACATCCCTAGGTACGTTCAATTCAATAGATAAAAATATTTACATATACACATATATACACTCAGTATATTTACTGTGAGTACCTGATATAGGTACAAGCTATTGAGGGCTTTTCTGTAGGCTTTTTAAGACTTACAATCTTGTAGTACATTGTTTTGATGTACACATATCTCCAGCGTTAGTTATATAAGCGTATGAAATTTAGAGTCAAATATTTAAAAAATATTTGTAGATAAACCTTCCTTATTTATAATTCTTTTAATTAGTAAAAACTGTATTAAAATACATGGCGTGGATTAGAAGAAGTAATACATAGACTAACGACTCACCCTCGTTTCGCTCGGGTTCGTCCCTAGCTTGGTTCTCCATACAAACTTTCATCTCCATTTTCAACCTCTTAAGGAATGGTTTCCGGGATAAAGAATATTCTATGTTCTTCCCAGGGTTTCAAACTGTCTTCTTACCAAATTTCATCTAAATCAGTTCAATAGATCCAGATGTTACCCCCTACATCATCACAAATACACAATTTCACAAACTTTACCTCTTTATAATATTAGTATAGATAGTAGTTTTAGATTTTTTATAGCATTTTTTTAGTTTTATTCTCGTACTATTTTTGCAATAAAAGTATAACTTATATATTACACACTAATTTATATTATTTAAGTTTTATGCTAATCAGTCAAGGCTTAAATCAACTCGCTCGAATAAAAAGCAAGTTGTGTTTAGGGGTTGTGTATGAAGATTATTTTGTATGTAAATACGTGCGTGAGGCTGTTGGAATGATAAGACTTTGAGCTGTATTTCTTGTAACTAAAAAAAATATTTGTTTAATTTATCTTATTAATAAATATTATGATTATCCCCATACTCAGTCTAATGACAAAATTGGATTCAAATAAAACACAAAAAAAATTAAATTAAAAAAAATATGTAGAAAATAGTATGTTTTTGTTATTATTATTAATTAAAAAGGCATTTATTTTTGTTAAATTTTCAACTTCACTTATAAGATTTTTTTCAACAATTTTTTTTCAGAAATTTATGCATAACCGCAAAATATATTTTGCGGTGCTTATAGAGGTAACACTGTAAAGTGCCAATTTAAAATAAGTATTAAAACGATATCTGCAATGTTCCGTAATAGTGTTCTGGTGTACGAGACAATGGTGGGAGGCCATATGATGAAAATTGTCTTCCCGAGTATTATGTGCGAAATAGGAGTTTACTTAGCAAACTCAGTTTGAAAGTAAAATGACTAAATTTCAACAGTAACAACTCAAATGCCTGAGTTATACTCGTAATAAAGAAGATAACGCTTATAATTTCACTTAAATTATATTGTTTCGTTAATTTTAATGTTTGAAATATATTGTTCAATTTATTCTTTGGGTGGATATGTAGGTAAGAAAATATTAACTTTCCGATGCGTTTTCATCTTTTAACTAATTTAAAAAAAAAACATGCACCAACAAAAACTAATAACATGCTTTGATTAATGTAAACAGTATTTATATATTTTTTATTCCATTTATATATACGCAAGGGAAGCCAGGAAGAAGACTGTATAAAATAAATAATGATAATAATTTATTAAATAATATAACCGCAACATGGTATCCTTATCATCAAATTTATCTGATACCATCAAGGAAAGTGGTCTTTTCTGCTATGTTTAACGTTGCTGATTTTTTTCGCTGGAAACATTATAGCAGCTCAAAGCTGCCTTTTTATTTAATGTATCATTTTATTCTTTCATGATTTATATTTCTTTTATGAATGTGTTTGTGAAGTGTGTATAAACACGGACTCTCAATCAACAAAAACACTTTTGTATATTTTTCCGTATTTGTGACAAAGGTATCGACGCGTACCGGAAAAAGCAAATAAAAACGTTTCCCCTCGCATTGAATCGCAGGACTTGTCAATTTACTGCTGGAGGATAATCTTCCGTAAAAATATTCCAAATACACCTATATTGTGTTTCTTCTAATATAAAGCATTTAATGAATATATATATTGCATTGTTATAAAATTGTAATTTTGTCAAAATTATGCTCTCGAATTTAAGCAAAATAATACCCCTTGAAGAACGAAAATTTTTTAATAAAAATTTATATACATAAAAAATATATAAAATTATTTTATTACTTTGTAATTGAATATATATACCGATTCCGGCCACGGCGGCCAATCTCACTGTGACTAGCCAACTGCGCAGGAGATATTATAGTGCACAAGTGTACGAGCAAACACAACGTGCACTCTCTATTCCTGTTACTCTCAAATTCCGATGGAACGCTATAATGGAACGACCGGTGAGAGATCGGGCGCAGGACCGATGGCTCTACGTGCTCTCCGAGACATGAGGGTGAAACACCGCCAATTTTTTAACTCCAGTCCGGAGTTTGGGTTACTAGGACTTCCTTAACAGAAAGACTCAATACCTAAACTTAGCCTGACCCAGAACTCGAATCTAGGACCTCCAGATGTGCAGTCGTAAGTGCTAGCCACTACACCACCGAGGCAGTCTCTTTATAATTACTATATAATATTACTATATACTAACATAACACAACTTGACTATTATAAAGTTTATAATATGTGTTTGTGTGTGTATGTTTGTTACTTAATTAGTTTTAGCTAGTTTGTATATAAATGCACTAAAACGTCCTAAAAGTCATAAACTATGTGCGAAATATATACTGAACTATTAAAGGTAAGTTTAAATTGAAATATATTGAAGAGTTTATATAGGTTACAAACAGAATTTTAAACTTTCCCTATCCAGCCGAGCTCTTTTTCCGAGGCAAAAAGTAAGTTACATTACTTTGTGCAAAATTTTCTTGCCTATAATAAGTTTAGTAAGATAAATTCGGATAAGCAAAAAAAAATTTTTTGTAAAATGTAATTGTTAGCTTGAAAGCTTACAAATTAGTAATTTTAAGCTAAATTAATAAATTAATAATAAAAAAAAATATATGTATTTCATATCAATTTTATAATTTTTATTAAATAACCCGTTGACCAGATTTAGATCAAACTCAGCACTTAAATCGACGACGACGGATACGAGTATACCGTGGGCAGAGGACTGTGAGACTCATAAAATTTTATTTTATTTTAATATATTCAACGTCCTTTACTTTGTTTTTCTTTATCATAGTTCACAATATATTTTCTTAAATATTATAAAATTATATATAATATTTTTTATAAATATTTATAAAAAATATTTTCAATATATTATAAGAAAGTTCGTTTATGCAAATAGTGTGAGAAAAATGTTCTAGAGGTTTGCGAAGCTCACAGCCTATGACAGTATCGGGAAGGCGAATTTAATTGTTCTGAGATGGTCTGTGGACCCTGTCGGCCGTCATTACGCAGGGGACTGTGAGTTTCTTAGTGACTAAAACCATCGTTTAAACCTACAACAGGAGTACTAAAACTACCTTTTTTTTTTTTTTTTTTTTTTTTTTTTTTTTTTAACGTTGGGAAATGCATTTACGCACGAGGTGTGGGACTCACCGGCAAAGCCAGTACTACCCACTAAAACCCAACAAAACCTTCCCCCGTCTTAATGGGGCATCGCAGGATCGCTTACGCATTCAACTACGACGCCCCGACGGCAGGTCTGCCGAAGCAGACCACAACAACCACGGGGTTGCTCCACAGTCCACTCTGCTATCAGAGAAGTACCAGGAGCAACCCGCATGGTACACTGCCCTCCGAAGAGGGCCACCTCCCACCGCCCACCGAAGTGGGCCACCTCCCTGTGCGTTTCTTGGCTTCGCGCCCGGTTGGGTTGCCGGGCACTACTGAGCCCCCCCACCACGACAAGGTGAACGCACGTTGGGGGGGTACTAAAACTACCTACAGTAACTCCAGTGAGTCTAAGGTTTTACATACATGTTTAGTTCTAACCAGTATACACAAATCAGTGTGTTTGACATGGTGTTAGAAATGGACAATATAACCCTATTACGTGGGTTCGACAGAACGTCACTGTCTCGTCTCTTAATTAATACATCAGTCAGATTCAGTCATTAATGTCATTTACCGGATCTTATAAGGCCACAAGGCCGAAATAGACTGGTAAGGATAATATAATTTACCGTACTAAGTTATTTCTTACATAAAAAAAATGTTTTTCAATGGACTTTAAGGCAAATGATTATTTTATCACTTTGGCACGGTGAGTATCTTATAATCAAAGTGTTTGTTGATTGACCGTTACTGAACTATACGTAAAAGTGACATTTAAAAAAAAGTAAAAGTCACGCTTTTAAACATGAAATTCACATTTAAAAAATTATAAAAAGCAGTCATGAGGACTGCCGACAGAAGTGAAAACTTAAAACTATAAACAAACACTTGTTATTTTTGGATATTCAAATTAATTGTTTGATCTTAAATTAAAATTTGTATATTAAAACTGTTAACATTTATCTGGTTTTGACATCTATCGGCACTCTGAGTGTTAGCTTTAACACGTCACGTGACCATGTCGATGACGACTTACATGAATTTACTCCCCATCCAAACCTGCCTATAGAAGTTTTCACTTCAAAAATCATTAAATTACTATACATAAATATGATAAAAAATTACTATATATAAATATACGAATGTATATTATAAATTAGCATTGCCCGCGGCTTAGCCCGCGTTCAGACGACCAAAAACCAAATTCTTAGGTTTTACATATTAGTATACTCTTACATAGCAGTTTTTGTATTTTTTCTCAGAAATGAGATATTTTCCGCTGTAAAAAGTTCTATATGTTGACCCGGATATTCAGCTATGACCATACCAAATTTCATCAAAATCCGTCCAGTAGTTTTTCTGTGATGCGGTAACAAACAGACAGACAGACAAAAATCTAAAAACTATAGATTCGGCCTCTGTATCGATAGTAATGTCTATTTCAATAAGATGTTCCATAATATTAATGTTAAAAAATGAAATAGCGAAATATTTAATGTACAGATTTGACTCAGAATTTTATTATAATGTATAGATAATTTCAAACACCTAGGAGAAAAGTAAATATAAAACGTCAAATGAATTGGTTTATCTTATTTCACAATAAGCTATTTCTGTGTACTTTACGTTACGATACTTATTAGTATACTTAATATAAATTTATTTTGTTAAAGTGCTAATTAATCATTGAATTTAATCAATTAAAATTCGATACTCACAGAGCAGACAAATAGTAGCAGTTAATTGCTTCTGATCTGTTGACATTGGAGTAATTTTGGATAATGGCGTGTCTACACTATACGTAATACATCTATATGTATGTATGTATACGTTTTATAGTGAACTTTTATGTTCTGAAAATATATTAATTTAGTTGTTTTCCATCTGATCTTTCTTTCTTTATAATTTTTTTAATGACATTATTTAATGTTGGCCACATTATTAAGTTACCTTTTTGATTTTTATTACCAAATATTATATTTTCTTTATGTTTTATGACGAAAAATATTTGACATAATCCATACTAATATTATAAATGTGAAAATTTGTGAGGATGGATGGTTGGATGGATGTTTTTCTCTTTCACGTCAGAACGGCTGAACGGATGTGGTTGAAATTTGGCACAGAGATAGTTTATAGTTTGGAATAGCACATAGGTTACTTTTTCCCGGAAAAATGTACGGTTCACGTGGGATAGATTTGTTTTTGTCTAGGGATGAATCCGAAGCGAAGCGTGGGCGAGTTGCTAGTGTATTATATGTCAAAATTTAATAATCATCATCGTAGCCGCCATTTCTTTTATTAACACACAATGCAATACGTCAACAAAAATGGGACTCTAAAAGCGTTCCCTTATATAGCTTAATTGAAACAGAGCCTCAATTTTTACATATATAGCCAAGCAACACGTTTTAACAGTTTTTTAACCGACTTCCAAAAAGGTGGAGGCTTTATGTTCGCACCCACTTTGAAAATATCTGATTAGGCATATAGTAAATAAAAAACCCCGATCAGTTATTCTTTTCTTTTAAGTATCTGGAAATAGGCTTTAATTTTTTAAAGTTTTTATTTAGTGTCTGGAAATCGGATAATTTAAAAAAAGTTTTTATAAGCGTTACTTAATATTATAAATGATAATGTGTTTGTTGCTTTACCCATGTTTTACACTACAATAGATCATTGATTGTGGGCCAAAGAGAGACAATGGCTATTTTGATCAGTACGTCGAATGGTTTCCATGGAATAATAGTTTATTGTAGGAAGTTAGTACGAATATGTGATGTACCTATATGTAATTAATGAAATTAAAATTAATGTTTTAATAGAGTGGGATAATTTTTAATGAGACAATTTAATAATAATATACAATAAATAATTACTCTTATTTCGTAAACATCAAACAATAACATTTAATTAGCTTTAACTTCAAAGCTTTGTTAAAGGTCAATACGCATTGAAACCACTTTGAGTAAAAAGGGCCCCAAGAGTCGTTTCCAGACCAACTTTAGGGTTTTTATGGAGATGTTTTAGCACTGATTATGTACTTAAAGTGCTTTAGCAGACGTTGTTACTTCTAATGATGCAAAACATAATTGTTTGTTATTTTGTACGTCTATTGATGATCGTTTAGTAAAAACAATTAAAGATGCTGATTTTTTTTGTTTGATCCCTTACATATTCGTATCATGACACAGAATCTCATCTACCTATTAAGATATTTGTCTATATATAAAAATCAATTGCCGTCCGTTATTTTCGTTAAAACTCAAAAACGATATATTATGTAGGTACCTATCGTCGTCGAGCGGCGCGTGCGGCGGGGCGGTGGCGTGCGCCATCCAGGCGCGCCACCACGGCACTAGAACTGCCCCACGACCAGCTCGCGGCACGTCTCGCACCGCACCCAGCCCAGCACTATACACATTAACACATTAAACACACTTACGTACACATCACATATTTACTACTCAAAACATACACAACTACCTACGATTTGAATAATTCTTTTTTGTTTTTTTGATTGTGAGTCAGTGGTAGTTTAAGTTTATACTTAACGAACGAAAACCCAAAAAAAACAGCAAAAAATCGATAATTTCAGAACTGTTTTTTATGTATATCTTATCTTATATATTTAAACGAGCTATTCTTGTATATATATATATATATATCTCAATATATAATCTGAATCTCGAAAACGGCTCCAACGATTTTCATGAAATTTAGTATACAAAGGGTTTCGGGGGCGATAAATCGATCTAGATTAGTCTTATGTCTGGAAAAACGCGTGTTTTCGAATTTTCATGCGGTTTTCTTTTGCATTTTCACAATTTTTGCATTGTCAGTTGTCACTTCTGGTGGGTGGGAGGCGCCACTGTACAACTGTCAATATCGTGTCCGTATTTACATCAAGTTTAAAAATATTTAAGTGGAAATAATCTAAAGAAAATGATAAATTCTAATTAGTTTAACAATAATTTTAAGAAATATTAATCTATAAACATCACCAAGTCTTGATGTGTTGAAGAACAAATGAGCTTTTAAAAATTCGCCTACCAAACAAATACAAAAGTGAGAAACATAACATACAGATACTATTAGTGCAAAACCATCTTTTCTGTGTGTGATGACAATAAAACAAAATAATTTGTGAAGTGAAAGCGTAAAATATTAAAACATAAGTTTATAACCTCAAAAACTAATACTCTGTATAAAATTGCAATTCAACTAGGTATAATTAACATACAACAAGAAATAAGACAGCAGAAAACAGAAATGTTAGAAATGAAAGAAGACATTAAAAATACAATCAACAATAATATACTTAAATGAGAAATTTAAACACTTAGAAATAAAAAATTCCTCAATAAATAATTTAGAAAGACATATTAGGCGCAAGAACTTGGTTATGTTCGGAGTAGAAAAAGGTGAAAAATCCTATCATGAACTAGAGGAAAAAATAAAGTCTTAAACAAACGCAAGGAGTTACAAGCCCAACTGAAGATAAAGAAAAAGACCTAGGCAAAACAGCTTTCATTAAATATGACAAACTAATTATTGTGGATAATAATAAGAACACTCAAATAAAAGAAGTCTGCCTGTATCTTCAGAAACGCCTTACCTCAATTATAAACAAAAACTAACAAATAAACAACATACAAAGAAAACCAAACCTGCTAATATTAAAGACTTTATATTACAAAAACCAAAATTAACTTTCAACCACAAAAATGATAACCAGGAAGAACTAAAAACAACACAGCAAGATACAGTATATTAAACACAGTAGGAACCTCCTCATTTTTATCCCCCAGTACAGCCGGTCACTGTGGGGGAGTTCGACTGTAACCCTCCAAAGAAAGACAGACATACAAAGAACAAAGGTAATACATATCTTCACCAGAAAAACTTCTAGAATTAAAAGCAGCATTTCCTACAACAAATCAAAAGAACACAAAGATAAAATTATAAACTTTATAGGCATATCAGAAACAAATTATAGTATATTGGAAACAAAATTTGAAAAGAAACCCTTTGCAATCATACAAGCATAATCTCCAACGGAGAGCTCTATGCAGGACTACTTTGGAGGAGGCTTTTAACCGAGAGGGGTCTATACATGAAAAAGACATTTACTAAATAAATACATTTAATTATGAAATTAAATACCTAATTTATAACTATTGTCAGAATTAATGTATGGAAAGAAATTTTATTTATATGTATTATTGTAAAATGTTTAGTATTTACTCAATTGAATTATTTAATTTACTGTCATTGTTTATTTATTTGTTAATGATAATTTATATATATACAATATAATTTCAAATAATATTAAAGATTTTTAAAATATTTTAATTCCAGATTACAAAATTATTAGTTAAAAAATTATAAGTGAATAAATAGTTACTAAATTATATAATTTTATATTTCAGCAATGTGATATAGACATTTTTCTGATAGTTTAAATTTATTTAAAAAGAAAGTGTATTTAAATATTTAGATTAGTTTTTTTTTCTTCTTTTATTTATTGTACAACTAAAATGGCTCCTTATATACTTTTAACCAAATAAAATTTTAATGGAATACTTTTATAAAAAGCTGTGCATACTTTTAAATTAAATTTATATACAAATAGGTAAAATTATAATGTTAAATAAATGTTTTTATGTAAATTTGTTTAGTAAGCCTTTATAATAAATAAATGAATAAATAAATAGAGCTTTATTATTATTCCTTTTGCATTATTTCAATAAATTAATAATTAATAATTCCACGCAAAATATTATTGTCGATAATTTCGCATGCTCAGATATAAGCATCATGGTCAAGCGGCCAATGCGCAAATTTGACAACCACAGGTGTCTGGGTTCGTATCCCGATCGGACACAAGGTTTTTAATGTTGTTTTTTTTGTAGTTATTCAAATTCTTAGTTTGTTTTTTTTTAACGTTTTTTTTTGGCCAAACACTCCGAGCAAGGCTCGGTCGCCCAGGTACTATATATATATATATATATATATATATATATATATATATATATATATATTATATATACCTATATAAATATTTATAAAAGATAGTCTATCTATTCCATACTAACCGTTACGACGTACCTAGGGATGAACCCGAGCGAAGCGAGGGCGAGTCTTTAATAAATATAAAACAAATATTTTACGTTTTTCAAATATGTAACATTTTACGCAACGCAAAAATTTATAGGGAAATACATTTTTTTTAATTCCTGTCGTACAAAACAAGACTTTATTCGGCTTCTTTTTTAAGTTATTAGGATAATAATAATTGTAAATATTCATTGATAAAGTGTTTTTGCACATTGATTATATTTATTTTCTAAAATGGCAACTTTTAAAATTATGTCAACATAAATAATATAAACCATATAAACCCGTTAATATCTACGAAATAGTGATATAGAATCATGTAAGAAAAACTACTATCAAATATTTTCATGACATTTCTTTGATACACTATGGTTTAAATGTATAACACATAGCATTGTTGCAAATTTTGCAGTAATCATCGCATAGCCTGCGGCCGCTCAGCCAGCGGCATCCTCATAAACATCGTAATAGCCGACACCTGCCAAGCTACGTACATCGTAAACAACGTTTACACACTGATTAATCTGTCAGATTTAACTTAGATGGTGGCTGATGAAGTTTTGGATTACATTACTGTTAGAGTTAATGGAAAATTTTATATTTTTCATTATATTGCTAAGTATAAAAGAACTAAGCAAGTAATAAAAACAGTATCAAAATTAGCTTCCACACCAGCGAAAAACCAGTTAGTTTTTTCCTAGAAATAAGGAAAGACAATACCTAAAGAGATAACAATTTTAATGACTCAGTTAAACTTTGAATGAAAATATCTTAATTGCTATAGAAAACAATCATTTAGGTATAATATTTCATTAAATTTCCCTCAGTATTATTCACATGGAAAGTCAAAGTACAATGTCTTTGGTGAAATCGAGTATTTTAATTACGAACTCTGATGTTTAGACTTCACAAACAAATCCACACTAGAGAGAGACTGTTATTACTTAGGAGGAGGTGTGTTTTGTAGAGCTATTGTGCGATGGCTTATTAGGTATTGGCTTTGTTGTTGTTCGAATTCAGGAAGTTCAGTCTACATCTTGGCTACATGCTTACTGGCGAACTTTATTGAAAACTAGCATTGCCCGCGGCTCCGCCCGCGTTCAGATTACCATAAACCAAATTCTCAGGTTTTACATAATTAGTATATTAGGTACTCTTACAATGCAGTTTTTGTATTTTTTCTCAGAAATGAGATATTCTTCCGCGGTAAAAAGTATCCTATATGTTGACCCGGATAACCAGCTATCACCATACCAAATTTCATCAAAATCCCTCCAGTGGTTTTTCTGTGATGCGGTAACAAACAGACATACAGACATACAGACATACAGACATACAGACAGACAAAAATTCTAAAAACTATAGATTCGGCCTCTGTGTCGATAATAATGTTTATTTCTATAAGATTTTCCAAAGAATATTTAATGTACAGATTCGGCTTAGTTACAATTTCATTATATGTATAGATAAGCGCAGTATGTGTAGGAACATTTGTGTTGACCTCCTCGTTAGTCTAAAGGAGAATCAAATAACTTTTGACTGCCAATTATGAGTTGAACACGCAAATTTAATGTTAAGCTCATTGAAATAATCTGTTAGTTTATCTATGAAGAAGTTATCAGTAATGGCGGCATTAAATACTAGCAAGGCGTCAACAAAAAACGCTTTTTGTCTCTATCTAATTATGATATATACTCTTCCTATTAAACTTGAGATGAAGGTATTTGTACACTATACTTATATATGTATATGCAATAGTAGCTATTACTTTGAACTATACACGCGAAAAGCCATAATCAGTGTAAACTTTCCCTCCCTCCTTTTGGGGGTGGAATTTAAGAAAAATGTGAATTAAAGATTTAGTTTCTTTTAATTTAAGTAATATTAGTTCTCAATTTTAAAGCTATATAGCGTTTAATGAAAATTAGCTTTAATAGTACGTTTTTTTTATTAATGAGTCAGCAAGTGAGAAAAATTCCACTTTTATATAGATTTAGCGGTTGGCTTATCTCGACGAGATTGGCCTTTGTGACCAGAATCGGTTAAGAGCACACATATTGTGCTAAAAATATCATTTAAGGTCATATTAAACAGAAATAATATCTTTTCGTATAATTCTGATGTGAATTATAACATAACTGTTAAAATATAACAAACATCTTTAAATAAATTATTTTTTGGAACATGTTGTGTTATCAATATTTCATGCCAAAATCTACTCTGAAAGGTAAAAATATAAATGTAATGCAATGTTGGCTTGTTAGGTGCTCGTAGGCCGCGTGTAAATCATCTCG